GCGTGGGGGCCGCCGCCGGCCGTCGGGGGACCCCCTTGGCGGGTGGCCAAGAAGGAGCCTCTTTTGACTAGGAGCCAAATGAAAACGCCCCCACCCCCCCCCACTCACCTGCTTCCACTCCTCCTTGGCGCCGTCGCTCCCGACCGAGTCAAGGGAGGCGCGGGCTTCTCCTTCGGCGCCGGCGCTCCCCAAACGCTCGGGCTCGTCCTCGGCGCCGACCTTGATCCGATCGGAAAAGTCCCGCAGGGAGCGGTTGAGGAAGCCGTCGCGGCTGATGACGGGCTTGGGGCAGGCCAGGGAAGCCCGCCGCCGCAAGAGCCTGTGATTGGCCCAGTCGTCCTCCGCGTCCGAGTCGACGGACGCGCCGGCGGAGCTCCGCTGCCGCCGCCGCTTCTTGGGGGGCCGAAGCGCCGAAACGTACTGCACAGAAAGACGCCGTGGAGTCCGAGATGCCGCCGTGCAGGACCAGAACTTTCTGGTCGATCACCGCCGCCAGCGGGAGCCAGCTGAAGATCTTCTGGAGCAGCTTCAGGATGCGTTTGCCGTGCATCTGCGCCAAACGCCAACGACTTCATCTGCCGCCTTCTCGTCGCTACTTTTTGACAGCCCGTCATGGGGAGGGCCCGACCGATCGGGGTTTCCGTGTTTGGCACGAGAAAACTATGACGACGGAGGAATCGGGCCATTTTTTGTGAAATGAGACCAAATCTCATGAATAAAATCACTTTTTTTCGGGGGCGGGCTCCTTTAACAAAAGCAAAGACTTGAATTACAGTCAGAACATTTGCTTTGTCTTTTCGAATTTGCCTTTCAAACGGAGCGCAAAGTTGCCAACAAAAAAAAAAAAAAGCAGCGCTTTCGCTTGAGATTTGGACGGAGGCCGCAAATGCCCGCAGCGCTCCGGCATTGGGGTGAAGCGTCCATTCGCGCATCGAGAGCGTCGAGGTTCAATGCCGTTGCTTTGACGCCAAGATTTTCCAAAGACGGCTCCGTCGCGTGAGCGAGTTGCATTTGAAATACGCGATGCGAGTCCAACTGAAACGGGAGCAACTTTGAAGGGCAATAACGCAAGGTTAGGGACACCGCGAGAAACCTTCCCGGCGGAGACGCCGCCGCGTCCTGACGGGGCGAGGACGTCCTTCGGCCGCGCGTCGAGTAAGCAAAGGGGAGGATAAAGGGCGGCGTGGCCCATCGCGGCCACTTTCTGCAAGCGGCGGGCTTGGACGGCCGCCGTTTTTATCGGCGGCGGGGACGGCGTTTCAGCCCGGCGGACGTGAAGAATCCCGTGCCCCGCGGGCATTCGCGCTCGGAAGCGGCGACGGCGGCGGCCGCAACCTACCTTGTATTTGCTCAACACTTCCTTGGTGAAGCCGTACCTGCCGCCGTCACACAAACGAGAGGAGACATGAATGGGTCGCCGGCCTTTGCGCGCGGTCGCCGGCGCACCTCAGGTTGATGATGTGGTCCTCGTGGTTGCCTCGGTTGAGGTGCACCTCGGTGGGGTAGACCAGCAGGAAGGCGAAGAGGATGAGGAGGATCTCCATGGAGTCCTTGCCTCGGTCCACAAAGTCCCCGTTGAAGACGTACGGCTTCTCCAGGGACGGCGGCCCGTTCTGTCGGAAAAGCGCATCGAAGGCTCCTTGGGTTGGCCGTCCGCGATCTGAAGCGTGAGGGTCGTGGACGTGCTGGAGCCCGTCCCAGCCGACCGGGCGGGGGGGACACCCTGAAGCGGCCGCCAGCCAATCGCACAGACACAAACCGCCATTCGCACTCGCGGCTGGGGACAATTTTCCCGCGCTCCGCGAACACGTCACGCATGTTTTGGGAACGCACCCGGATAAAAGCCAGGCTGGCACCTGGGGGCACCTCTGTTATCCAAACATGATCCCCCCCACTTCGGAGCTTCCACTTGTAATCCAATCGTCACGATCCCCTTCTATCAGTCATTTTTCGAACCTTTGATTTCCTTTTCTCAGGTTTGCCCGACAATTTGGGGTGGAAATGAGCAGGATGCGTCCTTTCCCAGCTCATTTTTGGTGGTCAGAAATAAGTGCTTGTCAACGGTGCCTTGTCTGCCTAATACCGCATCTCAACAGCACCTCATTTTGGCTCCGATTGAGTGTCTGTTGCCCTTCACTTGCTATACGCATCCGGAGTCCACCGAAATTTAGCGGGCCGGCCGCTGGCGGGATCGTAGCCGGCGGCGGCGCACCCTCGGGGGGCCGCGCCCCGGGGGAAAATTCCTTGCGCCTGAACGGGGACGCCGCGCCGCCTCACAGCCGCACAGCGGGACTCTCGGCGGGGCCGACGAAGGCGCGCTCGCTCCCCGGCTGGCTCCCGATGCGTACGCGTGCTCGAAATATTGATCGGGTGGAGCTCACTTGAGCGCATTACCTTGTAGAAAATCAACAGCAGGTCTTCCAGCTGCCCGTGCAAATCGCCTGCCGAGAAGAAAACAAATCAGCGACGGCGGCGAGTCCGCATGCGTCCGGCAGGAGGCGGAACGCAGAGCGGGGATTCAGCGGCGGAAGGCGGGCTGACCGCAAATGGTGATTTCTTTGCTGTGGCAGGTGGCGATGCGGCTGATGTTGGGCAACATGCGCAACAGCTTCCAGGTCTCCAGGAGGAGCTGCAGGACGTAGCGCGAGTGCAGCTGCTGCTGACAAAGAGGCGGCATTGGATGGGGGGGGGCAAAGGTGGGAGGAGCCAAATCTAGTTAGACTTCAACTCGGCGAGCGCCTTTCGGCTTTGTAAAATAGCACAAGGTTCCCTCTCTGACGGTCTGTCGCGGGCAGGGTTCGGCTTTTCCGTTCCCGGGAACTATGTTGACGTGAATGGAGGACCTTCGGTCATCGACGAGTACGCGCCGCCGGTCGATGAATGCGAGCGAAGGGTTGCGAATCGTACCTTCTTGTTCCTGAAGGCTTCCAGCAGGCCGACGGCCTGCTCGGCGGTCAGAGGGAAGCGCAGGCGCGGCCCCGAGTAGATGTCGGGCACCTCGATGTTCTTGTAGCAGAAGTAGCGCTCCCACTCGGCGTCGCGGCACACCTCGTTCTCCCGGAAGATGTGCGAGATCAGCTTTCCTGCGAGGTCACACCCAAAGCCGTTTAGAGGGCCGGCTCCGGTCGGCGCGTCGGGCTCCGCGCGGCGGCGGGTGCAGCTCACGTTCGTCGCTGGACGGTGTGAAGTTGTCCATGAGGTAGCCCAGGAAGTTGTACAGCTGCCAAGAGAGAAGCGGCGTCAAACTGCCCGCTTTCTTACACGCGGTGACAAGTCAGCCCCCCCCCCCAGCCGGTTTCACTCAGCCAAAGCAAAGTTAGCGGGGGGCGCGTCGATGGCGAACAGACCCCCAAAAAGGCCTCGCGCAAAGACGCGGCAAGTCCGGCGCTTTGGCTGGAAGCGACCGTTTGGGGGCCCGTTCGGTGGCGGCAGCTTGTCCAAGTTGGTCCGCTGACGCTAGCGGGGAAGCGAGTGTCCGGCCGGGGCTAGTTTGGATCGAGCCGTTGCCGCCGCGCCTTCCCGCACCTTGATCTGAGCCTGCTCTCCCGAGTACTCGATGGACTGGAAGATGTGCCAGGTGTACCTCCTCCTCATCTCCATGCGGGCCACATACTGACGGTACCACTGCTGGATCAGCACGGCGGCCCTTATCGCTGCAAAACCAAAGCGCAGAATGAGCGACGACGCCGGCTTGGGTTGAGCCGTCACTCGGCGCGCCCATCGGTCGCGCTTCGAGGCGGCAAGGCTTGAAGCAGGCAATCGCTTGGATTGACTCCGCTAGCGGAAACGAGCCTCAAACCTACAGTGGCTGCGAGTGTTTTAGGGACCTCCGCGACCTCTGTGGCAAACTTAAAAGAGCACATGAAAGTTGAGACAAAATGCAAAACAAAAAAAATGTCCTTCTGGTATGTTGAAAGTGAACCGAAGAGAACCATAAAACACGTTTATCGTTTCTCTGATTACATTGCACATTTCTATTGCTGTACTATTTACGGATGTGTAAATTACTTTTCACTTCATGAGATAAATGAAGAGAACGCCATTTCAAATTTCCTTCATTGAGAAATTTCAATGAAAAATAATCAAACATGTTTGATTGATTCAGTTGATTGATGTTAATTTGACTCTTATTGAAGGTAACTTTCTTTTAAGAGAGGAATCAATTCATGTATTAATCAAACCAAAAAACCTCTTTTTAAAACTGAAAAACACATTCAAATTTACCAAACACATTTCAGTGTTTTGTTTTTAACCTTGCTTTTTTTCCCCCGATTTCCTCTTCGGCTCATGCTCATGTATTGCAATCAAAGAGAAACTAACGATGACAAAGGGTCCTCTTGGAAGCCGGGCTCCAACAACCCCAATCAACGCCAAGCGTGTCGTATGACAATAAGAGAAGCCACTTACACGTGACGCCTGCACAGAGCGCGGCACAAAGGAGGCAAGAAAAGAAAAGGCCCAAATTGCTGACGGAAGCTTCACTCTTGGACTTTGCATGCATCAACGTGCGCGCAACAGCGCAAGCTCACCTTTGACCGCGTGTCTTTGGAACTGGTTGGACTTGGTGACGCCACATCCCATGACTGTTACTGCAACACACACGCACACGCACACGCACACGCACACGCACACACACACACACACACACACACACACACACCCTTTGTGATGATAGAGCAAAGTAGAAAATGGATGGACGGACAATACATCCTGAAAAGAAATGATAGCGGGAAGCAAGGAAACAAGGAGGCAACCAAACAAGGAGTGGCGAAAAGTGAGGAAATATGAATTCAGGAAACAAGAACTCAAGGAAGTAAGCAAAGAAACAAGGTGGCAAGGAAAGTAAGAAGCTAGAAAGGAAGGAAAACAGGACAAAAGGAAGGAATTAGGGAAGGAAGAAACAATTGATCAAGATAACAAGGAAATGAGAAAGCGAGCAAGGAAGCAAGCAAGCATCTGGGGTGGACTGAAAATTTGGGTCGATATGGGCGCCCCACTGGGGACGGTCACATAACAAGATGAACAAGTTCAGGTTGGAACGCTTTCAATCGGTCAGAAAATGTAGAAATTAGAGGAAAAAAAAAAACACAGAATTTTTGATAAGTGGGAATTTTTGCCTCGAGATGAAGCGAACAGTTTCATGTCGGGATGGTGTGAAACGGTCAGAAAATGTCAAAACGACAGGACAAAAAGGGAACATATTGCATATGTTGACGTGTTTATGGTGAAAAAGGACAAGTGGGAATTTTCGGCATTGGGATAAGCTGAACTGTTTGAAGTTTCAAACGGTTTGAATTTGACCCCTCAACAAATAATGCGAATAAATCAACATTTTTGGAACGATTTCAATCGGGAAAATGGAGCGAGTCAGCTGAAAAATGTGCGGTGAGTCCAGCGTGAGGACCAAAATGCGTCAAGTATAAGAACCCTAATCAGAGCGTTGGCGTGCGGAGGCCTTCACACGATCGTGATAAGAATCAGAACAATTAACTGGAATAAATTGGATGAACACGACATGACTAATCAGGTGAAACGAAGGCCAACAACGTTGAGAAAGTAGAAGGCAAAAAGAAATGCCTTTTTTTAATCCTTCAAATGAAAAGCCGATTGAAGAACTTACGCGGTCTCTCCGGTCAGCGCGTGCGGGGCGCTTTTATCGGGCCATTCGTCGCGCGTCGCCCTCCGCCCGCTGCGGTCCGGCGAAGAGGTCGAGGGCGGCCATCTTGGGGGAACGGCGGGAGAAGCCCAAATGCCGACGAAGTCCTCGGGAGCGCCGCGCGTCTGCGCCGAGCCAAAGCCGCTTCGCTCTTTAGTCCCTCGCGGCATGACGGAGGCGCAAGTGGATTAGAGACGCTAATTGCTTAATGAGACGAGACGGGCCGCTCGCAGCGGACCTCGGGAAGGAAGCGCGGGCGGTAGGTGGCAAGTAGGTCAATATCGGCATCCGTATCGTCGCTTTGTGCGGAGCGCGACGACGGCTCGGCTCATTTTCCTATCGCCTTTCACAAGGCGAGGAAGGCCAACTCGGCTGACGCCCGCCTCGCTGTGTGGCAAAGCAAGCCAACGCGAAGGAGGAAACGCCAAGTTAGGAAATATTGCGGTGCGCCTCTGCACAGATTTGAAAGGATGGTTTTTTTTTTCCTGGCATTTTACAGCACATTGTACAAGCAATGCCAAAGGTGGAAGTTTTCCAGGAAACTTCAACTGGGAGCGACAAACGAACAGATTGACGCAAGCGCGCTTTGCATCGAAATTGGGTGCGTTTTCTCAAAGCCGCGCCACCCGACAGACTCCCCGTTCGAGACACCGAGTGAGAACGGGTGCGCGGGAGCCCTAAGCCCAAAGCGATTTGGACAAATGTGTTTTAAATGGCTTTGGAGCAAACGGGAGCATTAAACTGCCTCTATAGCTTTTGATCAAATGACCGATTTTCATTCCCCGATCGCAGCAAGTCCTGTTCTGTGTGCGCCGCAATAAACGGGAGGAATATCGTCGCATTAGGACTTGAAACGTTTGGAAGATTGGAAAGATCTTGAAGTGGCTTTCAAAAAGCCTCACAAAACATTTACATCGCTCAAAATGAAATGGAAAAACGGTGAACTCATCAACCGAATCTCTCCACTTCAATGAGTTCGGAGAACGCATGCCGTTTTGCCCTCCCAACGTTGACATGAGTGGCACACCGTTCACGTGCTGATCACCACTCAAACATGCAAAATGGGGGGCTCAACGCGTACAAAGTCGAATCGTCAGACTTTAAAACTCCACACGTCGCTCCCCGTGCCGGTCTGTCACCCAAATCGAGTTCGTGGGTGAACTAAGTCGGCGTTCACTTTGGGGGTATCATCACTTTTGCAAGTGGAGCGAAAGTGACTCGCGCCTTTCCGCATCAAGTGCGGCCGACGAGCGGAAAGGCGCCTTTTTACACTTGGAACAACGCGGTCGGTCCTCGACGTCGGCGAGCGGCTTGAATAACGACCGCCGTGTCAAACGGTCTCGTTTGCAAGATGACGGCGCCCAACGCGTCGAACTCGTCGGCTTCTCGGTTCCATGCACAACCGACGCGAAAAATGAGGCCGGCGATCGGCGATGAAAGATGAAAGCGAGCTCGTGCTCGTCGTCTTTGTCGTTTTCAAGCCTTGCGCGTGGCTGTCGTCTTTTGCCCGCTTCCTTGAAAACCGTCGTCCTCGAATGCAAAGACGTCCGTCTCCCCGCGGCCCACAACCAAATGGAAATGCGAGCGGCACGCCGGGGTGGAGGATTTGCTACTTTCGGCGCGCGCGTCTCTCGGCCTCGTCGGCCGGGGAAGGTTTGCGCGGCCGGGGGGACGGAAACGCCACGTTCAAAGCGAACGCTTCGGGAGGTTTTCCCAAACCATCCCAGCCCGAGTTCAACGACCGAGCCGGACTTCGATGTTCGCAATGAAGCGACGTTCGCACGGCTCGCTAAACCGGAAGGCTAGCTCACCGCGGTTAGCTCGGATCGTGTGCGCTTCATGCAAGCACGAGCCAGCGGACTTGACTGGCCTTTTCCAAGCAGCGATGATAGAAAGCATCAACAACACCGCGAACACGAGCAAAACGCGAAAGAAAAGACGTTCTACTCACCGGGGGGGGCTTCGTTCATCGTATCAGCTTACACGCTTCCCGGAGGCCATCGGCAGTTTCGAGCGATTTGGCCTCCGACAGAATCTCGAGTCTGGTTGGACAAAAAAAAAAAGTTGAGAATGAATGAACACAATTTCATGATTGTATAAAACACTCCGATTGGACGGATGGATTTTATGGCATAAGGAGAAGCATTTAGGGTGGACACACAAATGGCAGGTTTGGTTTTTGGGAGCTAAAAACATCGGCCCAAGATGAAAGCCGTCAAAGGGTTTCCCACCATCCGGCCGTAACCCGCGCGACTCATTTGAAAAACAAAATCTCTCTTTTCAAGGAGTACAAAAAAGAATCGGGGGCGACTTTCCGCATCCGCTGCTTCCGATGGTGTCGAGGCCGCGGGAAAAGGCCTTCGCTGGCCCCGAATAAGCCCCCCAGCTCACACCCAAAAAAACCCAACAACGTTTCTTTGACAGCATCGTCGTCGAGCGCGGACGCGGACGGAATCGATTCGAGAGGAGAGGCGGCGTTCGGCGCCTTCGGCTAAGCCGAAGGCCGGCCGGCCCCTTCGGAACAAAAGAGCTTTTCTCTTCCCCGTCCCCGTTTCACGCCGCCCTCTGGAGGCTGCAAAGCACCTCTTTGATTTTCTCTCCTTTTTCCCCCCCGTCACATGAACGCACGGCGAGCGTGAAAGCGACCGCGCGGAAAACGCCTTCGCGCGGGTTCGCCGATCCCTCGTGACGCGCCGAGAGAGGGGCGGGGCCCGCGCGCCAAGCTTTTGGGTGGGCGCGCGCTCGGCGCTCCGCCACCGAAGCGTCGAGCGCCGGCATGAGGATCGCCGTGCTGGGAGCCAGCGGCCAGACGGGCCGCTTCGTCGTGAGCCAGGCGCTCGGGCAGGGCCACGTCGTCACCGCCGTCGTCCGCAACCTGGACAGGCTCACCGTGCGCCACGACGACCTCAAGGTACTTGGCGCCCGCCCGCGCCGACGGGAGGAAAGAAACGCGACCGCGCGTCGCGGCTCGATCCTCGCGTCAAAATAGTTGCAAACCGTAAAAGTGAAAGGATTCCCCGATTTGACCACACGTGCGTGAGACTTTCATTTCACTTGGTGCTCTTTTTCAGAGTTGGTGTCGTTGAGTGTTAAATAGCATCGAAGAAAAGGACGGCGGGGGGGGGGGGGGGGGGGGTTGATTGAGACTTCAATGACTTGTAACTCGAAATCCTCGGATCTCAAATCGGAATGAATGCAGACGTATTCTGATTAGTCAAGCCACCGCCCTCCCCTCAAAAGTGCAGCCTCGTCTCGTAGAAAAGCGGCGCCGTGCAGATGTTGACGGCTGGAGGAAATTGGGGGGCTACTTTTTTTTCCGCTTGCTTGAAATGTAGCTTTGGGCGGATTTCATATCCTTCCCCCGCCGCGGCGTTTGTGACCCCGGCCGCAGGTGGTGGAGGCCGACGTCTTCTCAGCGGACAGCCTGAAGTCTCATTTGAAGGGGGCGGACGTGGTGGTCTCCTGCCTGGGCTTCTCCGGCTCCTTCTTCTCCGGCGTGACGGGGTACAGCCGCTCCATGAGCGCCGTGATCGCGGCCATGCGGGAGGCGCGCGTCAACAGGATCATCGCCATGACGTCTTGGTACACGGACCGTGAGTGGACGCCACGCCGGCGCGATTTCATTGCCGCGCCGCTTCACTCCAGATTTGAAAAACGGCATACCTGTCACGTCGCGAGGTGGCGGTGGACCCCAACGAGAGAGGAGCAGGGTGTACTTGAAGTGTATTTGACAAAACACAGAAACTAAATCTAAAACAAAGCCTGAAAAAAAAAAAAAATCCAAAGTATCAAAGAAAAAGCACGGCAGAAGCTCAAAACCAAGAGGAACAGAAACACGACCTAACAAACAAACATGACAGCAGCCAAGGAACGGCAACGACGGCCGCTCGCACCCGCGCTCGGAGTCCTTTGAAAGCACAAATTGCCTGATGACCAACAGGTGTGCGGCTGCAGGGAGAGCCCGACAGCGCCACCTGCCGGTCCCAAACCGAATCGTGACAATGCCACAAGAAAATGAGAACGACATTTGGAAAAAGCGCGCGCATAAACTGAGATGATGAGGCAGAATTTGCGGGGGGCTTTTTCCTCGTGAGCCTCCAACTTTGTGGGAGGAAAAGAAGAATTTCCATTCTCAAATAATCCACCTTGAAACGACAGTCTACTCCACTCAAGCGTTTCTTGGAGCCCTTTCAAGGACAGCGGTGACCACAGTGGACGGCTTTTCACGTGATCGGGTGCATGAAAGGGTTCCAAACAAGCGCAACTTGATTCTGGCACGTTTTCACTCTTGGCGGGGCGAAAGCGAGGTCCTCCGCTGCGAATCGTGAAAAGCTGCTTCTCGGCGGAGACGTATCACTCGCGCACACGTGCTCGGCGGCGGTTGCCGTGGGCGACCGCCGTCCTATTCAGACGGGACTTGGCGGCATCTTCGGCACGTCAGAACCCCGCCGCCCCACCCAAAAATTGACAAGCGATGAATTTGTGAACGGCGACTTGTTCATATGCAGGCGACTGCCGCGTTCTATTTTGGCAAATGCCGGCGATCAGTAAAAATGAAGCGGCCCACGGGGCTGCGCTTTGACATAGCCGCCCCCGTGCAAAAATGCCTCCCGCGTCTCGCGAGTTCGCGCGCCGTAGCATCCCTTCCTCCGAGATCGCGTCGCGTTGACGACAATTCCCGTCTGGAAATGACGAAATGTGACGCGTCCGATGGCCATTTTCTCTCCCCAGCCGACTCCGGCACTCAGTCGCCGTACCTGATCCGCTTCCTGTTGCTGCCCCTGATCCGCAGCGTGCTCAGCAACATGTGGGAGATGGAACAGGATCTGCGGCAGGTGGACGACATTAACTGGACCGTGGTGCGCCCGCCCGGTCTCAAGAATATGCCTTCCTCGGGTAAAAACAAATCAAGAAATACATTGTGTGTGTGTGTGTGTGTGTGTGAGTGTGAGAGAGAGTTTTATGTTCGTTTCTGAAACTTAAGAAGGCAAGTCCACCCCGGGGACATGATTGGTCACAGCGCAGGCTTAATAGCGTCGACTTCATGCGGCGTTTGTTGGCGTAAATGGCTCTCATTTATTCTTATTTTCAAAACAAGCCTCATTTATATTTGCAGGAATCGTCAGTCACCAGATGGAAGGGTAAAAATACAACACGAGGGCGGGCGCGGACACGATCACCCGAGACCAGAAAAACAAAACGGCTGAGCGGTCCACAGCAAGGGCTCTTCGGACTTTTTTCTGCGCCCGACTAAAAGCGCTTCACCTTGACGGTTCCGCTGTAGACCGCATTGCAAAGAGCAGACTCGGATGCGTGGCAATCAGGGGCGGATTTGCTGAAACCGACAAAAGCCGACGGCTGACGTTCACGAGCTCTCGCGACTTAACGCTTCACTGTTTGAACTCTTCTGCGGCAGTGACGACTGTTGAAATGTGACTGAAACAAGGTCTGACTTTTCGAGTTCCACCGGGGACTGACTTGCAAAGACGAGACGCGGGTTGCTAGGATGCAAGGCCGGGCGAGGAGCTGATTGGCAGAGGCCAGCTTCACCAAATGGCCACCTCCCTCCCTCCCTCCCTCCCTGTCCGTCCACGTGACAGCATCTCTTCTCGAGGCTTTTTCGCGCGACCTGCCCGTACCCAATTTGGTGTCCACCGGACATACTGGCGCTTGGGGCCAATTTGGTTGTTGTTGTCGCTCTCCCACCATTTCACGACACGGTTGCGAGGCAGAATTGACCGCGACTTCCTCCGGTCTCGTTTCAAAGGCAAAGACAAACTAACGTCAAGGTTGTCCTCCCCAGCGTTGGAGTTCCTGACGCACGAGGGCTACTTCGTGCCCGACGAGGGCGGGCGTCCGGCGGGCAGCGCCATGGGACGAGGCGACGTGGCCCGCTTCATGCTGTCGCTCCTCAATAGCAACGCGTGGGTGAAGAAGGGAGTGGCCATCACCACCAAATGACGAGCGACCGCGAACCTCCATCGCCATTCATGCGTCTCGCCTCGCTTGTATGAAGAAGTGCTCCAGTTAAACGACATTTAACGCAAACGTCTGGTTTCTTGGGTGGCGCCCGGCGACGTGCGATCATGGTTTCGTTCACATGGTGGCAGGAAAAAGCCACGAGCAAGCCTAGAAAACAGGACGAGCGCACGAACGGAATTTCCAGTCTGGCAGCCTTTTGTCCGTCCCGCGATTTAGCTGGACTACTCGCAAAAAGTTGGGGGTTCCGCCCTAAATTGTACCTCGGGTCATTGTGAGCGTGAATGGTTGTGTGTGTGTGTGTGTGTGTGTGTGTGTGCCCTGCGATGAGCTGGCGACCAGTTCAGAGCGTCCCCCGAAGACGGCCGGGATCGGCTCCGGCATGCCCGCGACCGTCCTGGGGAGAAGCAATTTGGAAAATGGATGAAGAAAAAAAAAACACAAAAGAAGGGGCCAGTTGATTCATTTCAACCTTTGCGGACTGCCATCTCGATCAGGGGTGCCCAAACCTTTTGGAGCCAACATCTACTTTTCGATCGAACCGTTAGCGCACACGCGCGCACTTGCGCACGCATGCCATGATGAGGAACAGCCCCTAAGATGAATGAAACTGAAAACTAAGGTAGGCACAAGAGTTGATGAAAATCACCGCCTACCTTGGTGGGAGACCTGACGCGGAGGCATCCGCTGCACTTTGGCAGCGGGTTGGTTCATGCTTTTCCCTCAGCCTCCAGATTGCCATTATTCGCGAGTGCCATCGGTGACTCGTACACGAAACGGACTCTGACCGATGACAATAATCCTAAAAAGGATATGGCAACAGCTCTGACCTCAAGCTGCAACTGCAGACTGCTGAGCGCTAACGACTTCCGGTGACGCGGGTCGCCCGCCACCGGAAGTGAAAGGTGACCTGCTTGATTCTATTTTTTCAATGCTTTTTGTGAACGTGAGACTGACAGGATGATCGGGGTGCAGCGTGCATCAACACAAAAAGATCTTACTAACATGCACAGAGACACGCAAATTTTTTTTTTTTTTACTCTCCACCCCTCGATTGTCTTGGGACCGGTCCGCGATCGACGCCATGGGCACCCCTGATCGAGATCGAAATGACTACGGCAGACAAAGAACGAAACAATTTGCACTCAGTCAGCATTTGATCTTTTAATTGTTATCGTGATGGTAAATATCGAGCGTACGTACACAGGTTGATATTTTTGCAAAGGGGCTCCCATTTCTAAAGCTCTTTTCTCGCCCGGAGTTACTCCAAGCCTCTCGTGAGGACGGAGGTCTGCCAACACGCTTCGATTCTAGCACGCGCATATCTGCGCATCCGTTGAGCGTGACGGCGTGCCGTCCCGATGGAGGGGTCATTGATGGTGCGCGCTGTTAAAACAGTCGAGCGGGCAAGATGCCGCGACGGCGCCAGTCCGCAATCTGAAGAAAACCTGAAAGACGGCAACGCGCCCGGCGATGCAATCTGATCTGTTAAAAGTCCGGAGCAACGGAGAAGAACGCCGCGCCCGCAACCCGAGACGCGGCGCCTCAATGACCTCGGACCTCGTTTGCAAATAATCGCCCCACCCCACCCCACCGCGAGAGGCTTCCTCGCTTCGGGGCGTGTTAAGGGACAATGACATTGTCAATTCTTCACAAGGAAGATGAAACCGGCAAGGCATTCAAACGTTACAGGAAAGGGATGCACAATGTAGCCAAGAGAAAAAAATCACGATGGCCGCGTGGGCCCATGCAAAGCGCATATGGCAAAGATGTGCCATCATTTTCTTCTGAAAGCGGACTTTGACCTTTCAGATCCAACCCCAAATCCAATAGTTGAACCGTAGCTCTCGGGGGCATTACAATTCATGATACACTGAGCTTGATTATTTGAGTGGATTGAGAAAAAAATTCAAATCATAAAATCATTAGATGATAAAAATGTCATTTTTCCTTCAGGTACATGTCAACTATGGCTATATTCAACATCTACATCGCACATGGCATCTTTTGTTTTTCAATACCGCACGCCGAATACATACAGTACATCTCAGAAAACGTCAGTACATTTGTGTAAATATTTGATTCTATCTTTTCATGGGACAACATTGACACCCCCCCAAAAAAAAAGACACTCTGCTCTTATATCGACGTCATCACATTGATTTTTGGAATATTGCGACTATATCTTAACAAGATTTCATCTTTGGTCCTGTGGAATTTTGATTCCCCCTCAACAGAAATCCATTCAACCGTTTCAATTTTATTCTTGCAGTAAAAAATATTGTCTCCCTTTATGAGCCGAGGTTCTGTTATGACACTCGTAAATGTGCTTCTGTTCATTGCAATACCAAATGAAAGAGCCCCCCCGCCCCCCCAGAGTGTCGGTCAGTGACTCACGTAACTGACCTGCAGTATGATGGCAAGCTTTGGCCACGATCGGGAGTCTTTCCCGTCAAAGTAAAACCGCGTTCAAAGCAGATACCGTACGTCGAATGGATCTCCGTGGCTTATTTCGGTTGCGTCTGCTCGGCGTACAGCTCGTCGATTTTCTCCTGGTACATTTGGACGACAATCGGCCTCCGCAGTTTCATGGTGGGTCCTGGAAGTACAAGCGCATTCCGTTTCCAGCACGCGTACGTGCTCGCGACAGGTAAAAATTTGCTTTGGAATTGTGAACAAACATCCGTGGCATGTGGCCCGCTTCGTCACGGGACAAGTGAGCGAGATGGCGGGCCCAGGGGTGACTGGCTGCTTTCCACTTGGGACAATGACACTCCAAAACACAAATGTCCTCACGATTCAAATAGCTTGGTTTCTTGTTCTTGTAATACGATCAATACTCTACTCATGTCATATTTATTTGAATGTTATTGTTATACATTATATTGTACTATATATATAATATATAAAAAAATCTAAAAATGATGACTTTTCAGAGAAATAGAGATAATAATAAAATAAATAATAATAATAAAATGATCATAAAAAATATCAGAAAAAATCTCAGAATAATGAAAAATTATGTAATAAATAAATAATTATCAAACATCATGAAAACATAAAATAATTGCAAAATCCTCAAATTAGGAAAGAATATGGTCTCCGATCAAGTAAAAAAAAAAAATTGCAATTATTTTGTAAAATAATGACCAAATTACGACAGGCAATTACGCAAAACATTTTAAAAAATTTTTCATTTAATTTTGAAAAAAAAAACGAAACCCCCCATCAATCAATCAATGCGTGCGTGCGTGCCTAGGTGCATGACAGCGTACGTCGTGACTGCAGCAAAAGGCCAATGATGTTTTCCAGCCAGCAACTCACCGAGCTCGCCTCCGGCGACGGAGAAGTCTCTCGGCAAGACGACGAACTTCTGCACCTTCTGCGCGTTGGAGACGGCCTTGGCGTTGTACCGCTGGACGCCCTCCCGGATGGCCTCATACACGGCGGGCTCCTCGCCGGCGACGACCTCCGACACGGTGGCGGCGCGCAGGCCGCGGTCCCGGCAGAAGCCGACGACGTCGGGGCTCAGCCGGTCCGTGGGTCCGCCGTCTTGGTCTGCGACGCACTGGCCGAAGGTTCCCGGTCAACGCTTTGCAAAACCAGGTCCGGGCGGTCCGGGCGGTCCGGCCTCCGGGGCGGCTTACTTTGAGCGTGACCAGCATGGAGAGGAACTTCTTGCGGTCTCCGATCAGCATGGCGTTGCTGAGGATGGGCACCTCCGCCTTCACCGCGTCCTCGATGGGCACCGGGGCCACGTTCTCGCCGCCGGCGGTAATAAGGAGCTCTGCGTTGACGACCGCATTTTGGAATGTCAAAAGCATGCTCCTTATGATACAGTGAAGCCCCAACGTTTGGCAATTTGTCAGCAAATACTGTCCACCCCCCCCTTTTTTTTTTTAACAGTATACAGTGATCCCTCTCTGCATGGCGCTTTATTTATCGCGGCTTCAGTACATCGCGTTTTGGCTTTTGTTTTGTCCACAGTCCTGTATTCAGAAAAAAAAATGCGGAATGCCTCGGAGGTTTGGTCCGCGCCCGTACCGCATCCGCAACGGGCACTCGTTCAAGGCGCACGATGAGTTCCCGGCGCGACGTCGACCGATGGCAGCACGCGTGGGATTTATCCCGTGAGCCGATCGGGATCTTCGCAGCCCCGCCCAGCACCTTCCCCCGCGTCTCGTCACGCTGTTGACTCTCTGGCATACCGTCTCTTCCGTTTGCTTGTTACATGCGCGGCGGAGAAAGAGCGAGGGCCATTGGGCTTATTGCAGCAGCAGCAGGTGCTCCCTTCAGTTCCTCTTCTCATCAATACCGATTAATTGTCTTCTCATCAACACAAGTGAGCCGAGGCAGCGCGACGCGCAGCGAATCGCTGGCCGACGCGACGCGGCGCGATCACGTTGAAAGGTGGAAACGTTTCTCCATTCAAACGGTGACCAAAAGAAATCATCATCCGGAGAATTTCCGTCAGGCCGATCGCACGTCGCGCCTCTCAAGTGTTTCGCTGTCCGCTAGCTCGTTTACCGGACTTGGCCCGCGTGCGCTCGAGATGTCGAGGAAATCGACGTAAATATGAACGCGGCTGTTCTTCTTCCGTCCGGATCTTTTTGAGCGGGGAAATTGTGACAAACGAACGGAGGTCGACAATGTTCGGCCACCGACGTTCAAGCCGTAAATTCCACGCGAGCGCTTTGTGGCGTTTTGTCACGCGAGGCTTCGAGCCTTCGAAACAACGCTATCGAGCGTCCGAGTTCGGCTTAGCGCCAGGTGCTGCCGCACGGAGGCGCTTCTCGTTTTTCCACCTCAATTCTCACGCAGGCGCAGAGGAGATGTGCAAGTGGCTTCTGAAGAGAACGCTCGCCAAATGGGCTAAGTGACGGAAACGCCGGGTTTTTTGTCTTTGTCCTAAAATGTTTGTTGTCGTTTGTCCGAGTGACGCGCAACGCGCGGCCGACCTTTAATCCTTCCGGTGATGAAGAGGAAGTTTCCCTGGAACCTGCCGACGTCTCCTGAGTGGAGCCAGCCATCCTGGTCCAAGGCCTCTTTGGTCTTGTCTTCCATGTTGAGGTAGCCCATGAAGACGTTGCGGCCCCAGAAGCAGATCTCCCCGTTGCCCTTCTCGTCCTGTTTGTCCAGCTTCACCTTGCAGCCTGCCATCACCTTCCCGCAGCTAGAAACACGTGCGGCCGTGAGGCGTTAGCTACGAGCGACTGTTTGCGGTGCAGAAAAATGGCACCCCCGAACCTCCGCTACGAGGTAGCGCTGGGCACTGGGGTCAGTGGCTTCCCATTGACCGAGTGCTGCACTGAAGTGGCTTTGTATCGCCGCAAGCCCGTCGCGTTCCAAAGGTGGCGGCGGCGCGCTGACCTGCTGATGTGGAAGTCATCGTTCGTGGAGACGGTGTGCGGGCCGGAGCTTTCGCTCATGCCGTAAAGCTCCATGAGGGGCATGTTGAGGCTCATGAAGTACTCCAGGGTCTCCTTGGAGATGGGCGCCGAGCCCGTGAACAAGATGCGGCAGCGGTCCAGGCCCAGCGCCGCTCGCACCTTCTTGAACACCAGCTGGTTGGCCAGCGTGAAGCCCCACGGCACGCGCTTCTCCCTGAAACAAACGGCGCATCCGCACGAGAGGGGCAAAAAAAAATCGCACTTCGTGCCAGTCAACGACTTTCAAGTATGCGGAGGGGGAGGAGGAATTGGGCCTTGCGTTTCGAAGCAAAAGATGTTTGAGGATGATACGCCGGCGAGCGCGCATGCCCGCTGGCGCTTCGTCCCGCCCCATAAGGAGGCGGGAGCTGGCGAGTCAGACGACGGGCTCAACGCGCGCTTGATTTCTTGATGCCAAGTTGAGCCGACGATTTAGGAAGCGCGGTCCGCGTTGACGCGTCTCACGGAATGAAGAGACGCCAGGTGAAACGGCAACGGCCCTTTTCAATTGCAATCGCTTCGTCGCGTCTTTTCCCAAAGAACGAAAGGAAAACGGCGCCGAGCAAAATGGCGGCGAGGCTCTCTCACTTGTGCATGGCGCTGTAGTTGTACATGAGCCCGATGGCCTTTGACCAGTCAGCCACACTCTTCTTGAAGGGGCTCGCCTTGGCTCCCGCCGCTTGCATTTTCTCCTGCATCTTCTCCCAAACGCGAGGGACGCCCAGGAAGGAGGTGGGCCTCACCTCCTTCAACGTGGCGACCAAGGACCCCTTTCGTTGAAAGCAAAGCCCCCCCGGCCCAAAAAAGAAAATCACATAAAAAGAGGAGGAGGAGGAGGAGGAGGAGGAGGAGGCCGGTCACGTGAGGCCGCGTGCTCACCTTGAGGGCGTCGGGTTGGGCAAAGTAGGTGGTGGCCGCGAACCTCATGGTGATGTACAAGTCGTTGAGCTGAGCCGCCACGTGGCTGAGCGGCAAGTAGCTGACCACCGACTCCTCGCCGTAGCGCAGGTCCACCGCGTCTCCGGCTCTCTGCGCCGTCCAGGTCACCTGGAGCGTCGGGGTTCCCCAAGGCTCGACTTTAGGGCCCTTTCTGTTTCCGTTTCCGGCCCGCCGCGCACGGAAATGGTCGGCCGCGGTCGTTTCGCGACTCACGTTGTCGTGGCTCAGCATGACGGCTTTGGGGGTTCCGGTGGCTCCCGACGTGAAGATGAGGCTGCAGCACTGGTTGGCGCGGAGGCGGGCGATGGACCGGTTCAGCTCTTGTTCAGGCACATCCTCGCCCAGCCTCATGAATTCCGACCACTAAAAAGAAAGAAGGCACTACGTGTGGCGAGAAACAAGTTGGACTTTGGACTTAGCGTGGAGTTTGACTTAGTATGCGTGGAGTAGCCCTCGAGCACAGCGTGCGCGCGCTAGCGTACCGTGTAAAGGGAGGGCAGCCTCTGCTTGAGTTCTCCTTTGTACTGGACGATGGCTTTCAGATGCTGCAGATCGTCTTTCACCTGCCGGAAAAATCTTTTGTTTGATTTCCATTTCTTTCAAGGGACTGGCCTTGCACGCTCCAGATGGCGCACGCACGCACGCACGCACGCACGCACAGTGCGAGAGCGGAGTCAGGCGCTGACCTGCAGGATTTTGTCCATCTGCTGCTGGTCCTCCACCACGATGACGTTGGCCCGCGCGCTGCTGGCCACTTCCCAACAGGCCATGGGTAAGTTGTTGGTGTAGATGCCCGTCGCCAGGCCGCTGGAATGGACACGGGACATGTACCGCGTGCGCCAGCTTGCGGCTCCGCATTGCACAGAGGAAAAGCAACCGAGTCTCTTGTTCCCGGGGTGCTCGCGTTGAGTTTTGCGGCTCCTCGCCCCGATGAGCCGGCATCTCCGTCGCTCGACCGGCCTCTCCAGTTTTTATACACAAGGCGCCGATTAATGAGTGCGCCGCTTTTCCTCATTAGGTGACAACTTGCCCTGGTGAAAGCGACTGGCTTTACAGCATCGTTTTGCTTCACTCTTTTCAATTTGTGACGTTCAGATTTGGTTTCACTCCCTTCCCATGAAATCACAATTCATTCACATCCAAAGTTGGACGATTGACGCCAAAATCAATCATTTGTTTGTTTGTTGAAATAGCTCGAAGCGCGCAAACAATGCAGAAAATGAAAATGGCGTAATCTGAGCCCGTCATCATCATCGGGATCGGCATCGGTCTTGTCTTGTCCGTCACACGCGTGCTTTGCGGCACGTCAGCGATAAAAGCGGCGCGGGCTGAAGGAAGAAAAAAAAAGGCCATTCCACAAACACGTACTTGCTCAACTCAACTGGGGTGTACTTGTCGAGCCCTTGACAACAACCACCGCGGGAGACAAAGTGCCCGACATGGAGCAAAGATCACAAAGACGGGAGGGAGAAAGCACAAAAACGGTGCAACTAAAATCAAGTGTGAGTCAAAAGCCAAAGAATACAAACGAGTTTGAAAGATGGCCAGCGAGGGGGGGGGCTTGCCCAATGTTCAGTGGGAGCTCATTCCAAAGAGAGGGAGCGGCAACGGCAAAGGCTCGGTCCCCTCTGAGCCTGCGCTCGCTTCTTGGGACCTCGAATAACGTCGGGTCCCACGCAGGCCCCGACCGGCAGGTGTGTCGGGGCTCGGAGGGGGAAGGTGGCGCCGGCCCGTTTCAAGATTTGAAAACAAATCAGAAGATCTTGAAAAGACCTCGAAAATGTCGAGGGAGCCAGACGAGGGACGCCAGAGTAGGAGTGACGCGCTCCCTCTTCCGAGCAGCGGTCAAGAGGCGAGCCGCGGCATCGCGGAGCAACCGGAGACGCTTGACGGAGGATCGGCTGACTCCAAGGTCAAGCGCGGGACGGTCACCCGGCCGGGATGTGGCCGAGGCACGAACGAGCGTTTCAAAGCGCTCGCCGGACAAAGGAGGGGCGCGACTTTGGCCGGCCGCCCAAGACGAGAGAAGCCGCATTTCACAACGGCGCCAAGATGCCGCTCCAATTTCGAATCGCTGGGCAGTCCGAGACCCCGCTTTGGGACCGTCGGCTTACGATAAGGGCGGGACGGTCACCCGGCCGGGATGTGGCCGAGGCACGAACGAGCGTTTCAAAGCGCTCGCCGGACAAAGGAGGGGCGCGACTTTGGCCGGCCGCCCAAGACGAGAGAAGCCGCATTTCACAACGGCGCCAAGATGCCGCTCCAATTTCGAATCGCTGGGCAGTCCGAGACCCCGCTTTGGGACCGTCGGCTTACGATA